GCGGTGCAACTGGCAGGATAGGGCAGGGCGACGGCCAGCAGGACGGAACGCAGGCAGGGCAGGGTAGGGCGGCTGCCAGCAGGGTGGCACGCGGCTAGCAGTGCGGCGTGAGGGCTGCAAAGGGCGGCGCGCGGGCTGCAAAGGGCGGCGCGGCGGCCAGCAGGGCGGCGCGCGGGCAAGGCAAGGCGGCGCGGTAGCCAGCAGGGTGGCGCGGTAGCCAGCAGGGCGGCGCTCGGGCAGGGCAGGGCGGCGCGGCGGCCAGCACTGCGGCGAGTAGGGCGGCGCGCGGCAGGAAAGGGGCGGCACGCGGCCAACAGTGCGGCGTGCGGGCTGCAAAGAGCGGCGCGCGAGCAGGGCAGGGCGGCGCGGCGGCCAGCAGGGCGGCGCGCGGGCAGGGCAGGGCAGTGCGCGGCCAGCAGGGCAGCGCGACAGGCAGGGCAGGGCGGCGCGGCAGCTAGCAGGGCAGTGCAGCGCGACAGTGGGGCAGCGCGATAGTGGGTAACGCGCTACGGGCAGGGAACTATTCGGTGGGCCCTAAAAAACGGTCTTGGAACAGGACGTGCTCTGATACCATGTCAGAATACTGAACGAGAATGAATGGATTGAACAGAAAGTTCGTACAAGTGCTATCCCTAATTGGGTTGTACCGCTTGTGGGCTACCCCACTACAGCCTACACAATGTAACCATTATAACATTTTGACACAACATTCGACGCATCAGAAGCGCGAACTATATGTTTCCAACAGCAGGTCTCTGGATCTGCCGAGGGATAAGAGGGGAATGGCTCCTTATTGCATTTCCCCCTTTCCGAATCTTGTCACAATCATTAAATTTAGAAATTTATTTCTAAATTATTCATGTTTGTTGCCTCTGTATCAGCATGAACATCTTCACTCGGGCTTGTTGGGTTCGGGCATCTTGTGTGCACCCAAAAGAGCCACATACAATTGTGTTGCAACACATTGAATCGATGCCATTCTGATCTGGACAGTCTAAGGTGGCTGCAGGTGCACACAGCTTGAAGAGCAAACCTGATTTGTACTAGTGCAATGCTTACCATTAAAAATGTTACAGCATAACCATAAGCATTGAATGAAACAGGAGCGGGCATTGATGCCAAAACAGCTGACAAGATCAACGGAGCTCCCAGCAGCATGCTGGAAGGCTGCCTGTCCATGCAAGCTAGGTAAGGCAGCAGCAAAACATGGCGGTGCTATGTGCCCGGAACAACCCAAGAGCTTCAATACACCTCCGGCAGAACCGCACTAGCTACTGATGCCACATGAACAAGCGCAAATCGCTTGTGCGTAGCACTGAGGGCCTGTGTGATGGGTGGGAGGGAGGGCAGCACAGTGATGTGGACAGGTAACCCAGCTGTGCCATGGTGCGGTGTGATGACAGCACAGCAAGGGAGAGGGGAGCCCACAGCAAGCTGGCGACAGCAGGGCTACATGGGCTACATGGGCTGCCGACAGCAGCGCTACATGGGCTTTAGAAGATGGCAGGCGGAGAGGCACGGCGCGAGGGACGTGGGTGGGTATGGCTAGCCCAGTGCAGCCACACCACTGACTCGATGCAGTGCGTTGCTGGCGGGGAAAAGAGGGCGTGGCAGGCAGGCAGGGAAGCTGCGAGCGTGTGGAGCAAGAGGAGACAAGAGCTGCTGCTGTCATGATTTGATCACAACTTGCTGGATCGAGCAAGCGGCAGCAGGCAGTGGAAGGTCAGTGAAGGCAGATAAGCGGTCGGTGCGAGACTTGAGCCGCGATCACGGCAATGCGCAGAGCGCGTTGCAATCATGTGTGTGTGTGTGTGTGTGCCCGGTCACTGCGGCAGCAGGCAGCGGTCGTTGAGGCGTCTCAGCAGCACGAGGTGCGGCGCCGTGCCGTGAGCGCGCCCGCAGCGCAGGCAGAAGTGGCTCGCCTCATTGGGGCACGGGCGGCGCCCGCGGCCAAAGTGGCAGCACCCCGTCTGGTAGAACTGCCGGCACCCGCCGTACTCGTCCGGCGCGTCTAGAAGCGCCGCGTCCGCAGCGGACAGCCCGCGGCGCGCCTCCGCCTTGAGGTCGTGCTGTAACGCTGCGATGGCGAAGTCCTCCAGATGCACCAGCTGACGGGGGGAAGGGGGGCGCGGGGGAGGGGGGGAAAGACGTGGAGAGAGATAGGGACGAGGGAATGAGGGGATGGATGGGAGATGGGAACCAGAGGGCATGCAATGACGTGGAAGAGAATGTAGAGAAGCCGCGAAAGCACCAGAATGAAGGGCGGCATCAGGGGGAAGTGGCACGCGCGCAACGTACGTCGAGCGCGTGGACGGCCTTCACCATGCGGCGCAGCTGAGTGGCCTCCGCCGCCTGCCGCACCACCACGCACTGCGTCCCCTCCAGCTCCCGCCGCAGCCGCGCCGCCTGTCCCGCCTGCTGCGCCGCCACCTCCCCCGCGCCCGCCAGCTCCCCGCGCAGACACGCCACCTCCGCCGCTAGTTGCAGGTGCGCGTCTCCCGCGGAGTCCAGCTCGCGCCGCAGGCGCACCACCTGCCGCGCATGCTCCCCGCACGCGCGCTGCATCTGCGCCATTTCTAGTTGCGCCATCGCCGCCGCCTGCTGCGCTTCAGCCGTAGCGGCTTCCGCCCGCCGCACTGCCTGCTGAAGTCGTTCCACCTCCTCCGCATGTGTCGCCAGTGTCTCGCGTGTCGCGTGTGTCGCATGTGCGTGTGTCGCATGCGCCACGCCCGCCGCAGCCGGATCTTCCACCGTGCCGCCAACCGCGCGGGGGAGCGTATCAGGAATCGCTTCTTCGCCTGCTGCATCCCCCGAACCAGCCGCCGCTGCGCCAGGCTCGTCCTTTGCGTCCGTGGGGGCCAACGCCGCAGGCGACGACACGTACCAAGGGTTGTCGGCAGGAAGTGAGTCGTGCGACAAATCCGCCGCCGTCGCATGGCCGGCGACTGACGACGAAACGGACGACACGAACGACGCGGGCGACGACGGACTGGAACCCGACGACGTAGCGTGTGTCGCCTTTTCCCCCGGATAGGGAATCAAGCTCGCGCTGCGACGACCGCTGCTGCTGCTGTCGCAGTCCGCCGAACACGGCGCAGGTGGCACAAAGGTGGGCGCGGACACCGCGGCGGAAGCCAGGGCGCGGAGAGACCCCGCGGAGGCGGCGTGGGGGAGTGAAGGGCGCGCGGGAGGTTCAGGCGGAGACTGCGAGCGGAGGGAAAGCGAGAGCGCGGAGAGAGAGGTTTCGAGGGCGAGAGAGGGGAAGGCGAAGGCGGAGGACGTGAAGGGCGCGGAGGGCAGGCTCGGCGGAAGCACCGACGGTCCTTGGAGGGCTTGGCCTTGCGCGTGGTGCGGGAGAGAGGGGGAGAATGCGCGGTCCGGGAGATGAGAGGAATGCGCAGAAGCGAGCTCCGAGAGCGCGGAGGAGAGGTGGGAGGGTAGCGGCGGGGGGTGTTGAGCGACAGTCTGTTGCCACGACCCCGCGTCGTATGCGACACTGTCGCATGGCGCGGCACTCTGCCACGTGTCACGCGGATAAGACATCTCCGCCTGCAGCGGAGGCCGCGCAAGGTACGTTTCCCATGGCGGCATGGCGGCTGTCGGAAAGGCGGAGGGACACGCGGAATGTGAGCGGAGGCTGCGGAGATGCCAGGAACGAGGGGGCAAGCGAGCGTAGCGGTACGCGGAGATATCGATAGACAAGAGCGAATTCGATGTGAATGGGCGCGTGGCTGTTGGGACACCACAAGGCTGGTCAGGAATAGATTCCTAATGAGACGAGGTGTTATGTAGTGCCACACTTGAGCTGGCCTTCCGGTTTTGGCTGCTCGCAGAGCGATGAAGTTCTGCTTGCTGCTGTAGGCAAAGCTACGGCATATGCTCTCAATCACCTGCTTCCCTAGCAGCCAATCACAGCGCACACTCTGTCATGGGGGAAAAGCAGCTTCCTTGGGAGGTGGGACCGAGTGGGTCAGTGAATGGTGAGGGATACGATCGAGCCAGAGAGAAAGGCGATGAGGCTTGAGCTCCCGCGGATGAGTGGATGAGGAGCGAGCTGCGAGGGCAGAGGGGCAACCATGGATGTGGCCTGAGCTGACCATGGGTGAGCGTACAACGAGCGAGGCGAGTGCAGCCACCATCAGTCCTGGTGACTCACGACCATCGCCAGCTCTGTGCGACATCTTTGCGAAGAACTCGCAGAAATACTTCATTTTTGCCCAGGGTTATTCCGCACTTGGAATTCGTGACAGTGACAAAACATCTCCTGTTCGAAAAACTGGTGGCTCGTGCGAGGGAGATCCGCTCAGCCTGCACAATCGCCACTCGCCTGCTGTGTGGTGTGGAGCCGCCTTCTCGCATAGCATCCACAATGTGCGACCGATTCATGGTCATCGCGACGTGCTTCCCCGTCGCACAGTCGCACAACCATTCAGTGCACCACTAGACGATAGGTCCTATCTCAACGTTACCCTCTCCGCCAGATAAAAAGCGGGATGCGAAACGCTTGCCGAACTTCTTGGAGCGACAGATGGGATCATGCGAGGCGCGGAAGTCAGCTGTGTGAAAGAGAGAAGAGAGTTGAGAGCAGCGCGCGGATTGGTGGATCGGAAAAAGTGCGGATAACGCTCCACCAACTGAGGTTGCCTGGTCACCACAAATTCACACTCGCTGCGGTGGCGAGCGTACGGCCATCCAGCGAACTTTAGCCTCATGACCAGCCCTTTCCACGATGCGTGACGCGTGTTGGACAGACTCGTTGTTACATATCGACCAAACACATACCCAACGGAGATTGACTTTTAGGAGGTAAGTACACACCAGCCTTCCCAACACAATAAGTTGTGATGTGTCTGCATGAACTGAAGCCATCTTGATGCTGGTAAGTATCCTCAACTCGAGCACCCAGATACGCGTTCATGTGGATTCAAACCATACAAAGAAATAAGGTACCCAATTCTTTCATTTACGGTAGTTGCTTATTGCCAGGAGCAGTGGCCAGCTCATTTCCTAGCGCCATAGTAGAGCTCGAGATAGTCGAGCGCCGGTCTGTTCCAAGTCCAGTCTTGCTCCATGACCCGCTTGGCCAACCCATTCCACCACTCGCGCCCATCATACCACCCAGAAATGGCTCTGCACAGAACACAAGTCAGGGAGGCACCAAGTGGAGGATTTGGAAGGCAGGCGAATGAGTGAGGCAAAAAATATGGAAACTGTGCCTTCAACCTCACGCCATTCTCAATCTATTCCATCAAAGCCAAAGCGCTGCTTGTTTCAATTTAGCACTCACATGCCATTCTACAGTAGTGCGCTGGCGGTCCAGGGAAGGCATGGGTTACCGTACCTGTCGAGGGCATAGTCGAGGCCGGCGGCATCGGCGCCCTCAAAGGAGAAGCCGTTGACGTCCTTGCCCTGCGCCCTGGCCCTGTCGTGATCGTTGTCCACGTCAAACACCGTGTCGTTCAACCCTGCCACGCACAGAGAGAGAGCACGTGCATGCCAGGACGGTAAGAGGGGTTGGGAGAGGGAGGGATGGAAGGAGGGGACATGAAAGGGCAGGCTTATTTCAGAGCCATTGTGCCACTAAGAACAGTGGGGAAAGGAACAAGGGAGAGAGTGACAAGACGAGAGTTGCAGGGAGGGGGTGGCTGACCTCCTGTCTTGCGCACGACGGGCACAGCCCCGTAGCGCATGGCGATGAGCTGTGTGAGGCCACAGGGCTCAAACATGGACGGCACCAGAATCATGTCGCACCCCGCATAGATCTGCCGCGCGAAGTGCACAGGACACGCATGGCACAGGGGGGATCACAGCAGCACGGGGACTGGGATGAAGGGGCAGGGTTGATGCAGGAACAGGGTATGAGTATGCGGGTGAACGCATTGCAAGGCAGGGTGCAGTAATGGGTCACAGCCGCAGCAAACACAATGGGGAAGCAGAAGCAACGCGGGCAGGAGCAACGACACACAACCGTGAGCCCCAGGAGCAATGTGTGTGTTGAGGGTGGCCCACCAGGTGGCTAAGCGGCTCGTCGTAGTTGAGGCAGAGGCGCTGCATGTTGTTGTGCGAGTTGTTCAGCTGCCCCGCCAGGTGCTCAAACTCACTGTGCACTCGCGGGTCCGGAGCCGATCCCAGCAGCACCACCTGCACGCATGACCACGGGCATGGGCATGGCAGATGGCCAGTACAACAAACATAAAGGGTTGGGCCAGGTGGCGGCATGCTTGATGAGGTGAATGCCAGTCTGCGTTCCCACACTCATTCTCCCTTTCATTCAACTTCCACTCCAGTATTGCAGTCACTCTCCCACTCCCCCATCTTAAATCTGATCCAATCATCCCCATCATGTGCCCTTCCCCTCCCTCACCTGGCCACCGCGGTCCAGCGTGCGCCAGATGGCGTGTTTGATGAGGTGGATGCCCTTCTGTGCTGTGAGCCTTGTCACGATGCCCACCACGGGGCGGTCGTCAAACCGCAGGTTCAGCCGCCGCCGCAGCTCGTCCCTGGCGGCGCGCTTGCCCTCCACCACCTCCTCCGATGAGTACCGCATCTGGTGGCGGGCCAGGCAAGGGGACAGGACAGGTAAGGCCAGGGGGGAAGGAAGGGAGCATGCAAACAGGAGTGCATTCCCGTGTGATGTATACAAGCACGGTGTTGGTCTAGGATGCGAGGGGAGCAGAGTACTAACCGGCAGGAAGCGGTCAGTCATGGGGTCCCAGATGTCGGGGTCGATGCCATTGAGGATGCCGTGGAACTTGCCCCGGTGCGCTGCCACCGCCCCGTGGCCCCCTATCTCCCACGCGTACGTGGGTGACACCTGGAGGGCGTGGATGGGGCGAGGGGAGGTGGAAGAGTCAGTGGCATGGCACAGTAGAGCAGCACAGAAGTGCTGGCATTGCAACACAGCAGCGATGGTGGTGGCAGCAGCAGCAGCAGCAGGGGGGACGGAAGTGGGAGCACTGACAGTGGTGGCCATGTTGCAGGCGGCCATGGCGCGGCCAATGAGCGCCTGGCCGAACTCGAGGTTGTGGATGGTGAACACCGTGCGCGCATTGCCCAGCCCGTACTGCTTGTAGCTCTCCGCGTGCAGCCATGCCACCGGCGCCGACGACCAGTCGTGGCAGTGCAGGATGTCCTGAAGGGGACAAAAGTGGGGGTGGGTGGGAACGGGTGTGTTGGTTGGTAGGGAGTGGTGGGGATAGGCAAGTGGACGACAAGTAGATGGGGAGTGTGCGTGATGAGTGCGGGAGAGTGGAAGCGGGCATGAGAGCATGGAGCTGCGTTCAGCGGCTTAGAGGGAAAACGCGAAGAGCAAGCAAGGCTGCGAGGAGGAGGGGGGGACTGACGGGCTGGCGGCCGGTCTGCACGAGCATCTCGAGCGCCGCGTTGCAGAAGATGCCAAAGCGGTGCCCGTCGTCCTTGCGCCCATAGATGCAGTTCACCCAGAATATGCTGCCCGGGGGGAAGGGGACGGAGGGGGAGGGGGGAAGTTTTTGAGTTGAAAAAAAAACGCTTTCGCGGGACAGGTGAGGGAGAAATGGGGGGGGAGAAGGAGGGGGGATGAGGGATAGGAAGGGTTAAAGAGAGAAAACGAGACGAGCGGAGAGGAAAAACAAATGGAGTGGTTGAGTTGTGGCAGGTGAGTGACAGTGAAGAAGGCAACTGATTACCAAGATGAGAATTCAATTCTAACGAAGCACGCTGCAATAGCAATGGTTCACATCACATATGCCGCACACCTCACCCCTGCCCATCCGCCCCCTGTCCACCGCATTTGGCCGTCCAGCCCCTTCATCCTCACTCCCCCATCCATCCCTTCACCCCTCATCCTCTCTTCCCCCTCTGCGTTCCCCTGCTCACCCGCTCTCGGGTTCAAGGAAGTGCACGCCAATGCCCTCCACGTAGCCAAACCACATGCGCCAGTTGGTGCCGCCCCACGCAAACGACCCCCGGTCCTGCAGGTCCTGGATCTGCAAGATGGCATCCAGGGAGTGCGTGAGAGAGAGGGGATGAGTTGGGATGACAGGTGGGAAGCACGGTGGAGTGAGATAAGCTGCGTGCTCGTGGGAAGGTGTGGGGGGAGGAGGGAGAGAGTACGTGAGCAGATGCACAGCTGCCTGTGGTGACCCTGAGTGCGGTTCATCGGTTCATCGCGGTACTTGTGGCGCGAATGAATGTTCATGTAGGAGAGCATGACACGCAGTGTACACCATACAGTAGGATTGTTGAGTGTAGGTACTTGGGTGGGTACATGTGACAAGGATGATGTATGTACTATGTGGTGTGAGCACGCAGCACTCACGCAGTCGTATTTGAGGACGTCGTACTTGGGCAGAATGACCTCCGCCTTGTGCCCCAGCTCCAGGATGGCTCGAGACAAGGACGTCACCACGTCGCCCAGACCCCCCACCTGCACGTGCCACATGCCATGTGCCATGTGCCATGCCCCGCCACCCACCACCATTCACAGGCAATCCATGCGCATGCAAGTGCCACGCCGGGACAGGCGGGCAATCCATGCGAATGCAAGTGCCACGCCGGGACAGGCGGGCAATCCATGCGCATGCCCATGGGCAGGGCGGTTGGCAAGCACAGTGGAAATGAGCGATTGGTGGAGATGGGGGAGGTGGTGATGTGATGCGAGGGGGGCAGCATGGGCGAAGTAAGAGTTGCAGCAGAGGTGAGTGGGGGGGGATCAGAGAGGATGGGGAAGTGGGGCTATGCGCTAGATGGATGGAGGCATGCCCACGTGGGTGATGGGTGACACGTGGAGTCTGTCGGACGTACCTTGGCAATGGGCGCCATCTCGAGGGCGACGTGCACGATGTAGAGCGGCGGCTCCTTGGTGGTGCTGCCCACTATGGGCACGTGGTAGTCCAGCCCGCCCCTGTTGTCATAGGTGGCCACGTTGGGGTCGCTGCTGTCCATGAACACCAGATCCATTATGAACGCATCGTGGGGCACCGTCACTGGGGGGTGGTGTGAAGAGGCAGAAAGCAGAGAGTGGAGAGTAGAGAGGGGTCGCTGCTGTCCATATGAACACCAGGGTCCATTATGAACGCGTCGTGGGGCGTCACTGGTGGGATGGTGGATGGGTGGGATGGTGGATGGGTGGGTTGGTGGATGGGTGGATGGGTGGATGCAGGCAGAGAGCACACAGCAGAGGGCAGAGGCAGAGAGTAGAGAGGGATGGGCACGGCAGCTTGCATGCCAGGCAATGGACGGTTGTGACTCACCCTCGCCAACGAGGTGGGTGCCGTTGGAGGCGGGGCGCATGTGCACGGGGAGGAAGCACCCGGTGCGGTGCGTCCAGCGGTTGAACGACCCGCGCATCCACACGTCGTGGCGCCCGTGCAGCACGGTGTTCTGTGGGTTGTAGAACACGCGCACCGTCTCCCCCGCACGCGGCTCAGCGGGCTCCGTGAAGAACACGTGGGCTTGTGACTGCAGGAACGTCTCCATCGTGCGCCGCTTCATCGCCCGCTTCGCCTCCTGCCGCCTCACCTCCTGCCAGTGTGTGTGACGGGGAAGAGAGTGAAAGGCAGCAAGGGCGCGGTGAAGGAGCAGCATGGAAAAGCAGTGGGGTTCAGCAGGCGCGGTGAAGAACACGTGCGCCTGCCACTGCACGAAGGTTTCCCTCGTGCGCCGCTACAGTGCCCGCTTTGTCTCCTGCCGCCTCACCTCCTGTGAGGGGAGGCGAGGCGTGTGTGGGAGGGGAAGAGGATGAAGAGGCAGCAAGGGGGCGGTGAGAGAAGCGCAGGCAAAAAAAAGAGTGGGTGTCCGTGTGTGCTTGCTTTGCTCGGCACACCGGAGTGGGGAGCGTGGTGAGCATGCCTTCTATTGTTTCTCAAGGCAATTAGCCCGCGGTGGCACTTGAGCGGACTGAGAAGGCATTCTGGGTGAACTCAGGAATGTTCTGACACCACGCCCGTAGTCACCGACGAGGTGGGCGTGGATAGGAGTGGATGGCGGTGTGAGTGCACATTAGCGAGTGTGGATAAGAGCATGCAGAGTAGGTACATATGTGTGCAAGTGCGTGGGAGTGTGGGAGGGCCAGGCCCATGCCAACGCAATGCAAATGTGCTAGCGCGTGTGTGCATTTGCTTGTCGAAACTATATTTCCGCTTTCGTCTCTATACATTGTTACCCTTCCTTTCATCCTGTCAAGTCACCCTCACCTGTCAAGCACACCCACCGCTGCCAACCCTCCCTCCCTCCCCATCTCTCACCTCCTTGGCCTCGCGCTCCTCACGAGCAATGCGCTCCGTCTCCAGCTTCACCAGCAGGCGCTCCTCCAGCTCGTCAAACAGCTTCCGCGCGTCGTCGTCGCTGCCCACGCTGGCGGCGAAGTCCTTGCGCCCGTTGTTGTCGTATGCGCCCGCCTTGCCCACCGCCCCGTCCGCCATCACCCAGTTCAGCACCACCGCGTCCGCCGGCAGCGTCACTGAGGGGGGAGGGGGGAACGGGGATGGGCGGGAGAATACGGGGAGAGTGAGGGGGGCATGGAGATAGGATTGGGCGAAAGAGGGTGAGTGATGAAGGGAGACGGGACGGAAGGGAGGACTGGGGGATGAGGGAAGGGAAGTGGGAGGAAGTTGAGGGGAGGGGGAGGGGACAGGGTGTGAATAGGATGGGAGGCGTCGCTGTCTGAGGGAGGGGGTTACATTGCAGGCCAAGGGGGGAGTTATGAAGCACTCACACTCCACAGACCACCAGTCGCCGTTCTCCTGGTTATCTGGTTTCAGCTCGCCCGTTGCGGACAGCCCGTCCTGCCACCCGTTCACCCCTCCGTGCACCCACACCGCGCCACTCCGCGCCAGCGGTCGACCCGCCCTGTTATACAGCAGCCGCACAACGCGCTCGCCCCCCTCCGTGCGCCCCACCTCCTCCACGCGCCACATGCCCTGAAGACTCGTGCCACACGTGCGCCGCATCTCCCCCAGCCGGTTCCGCGCGTCGTTCGCCATGTCGCGCGCCTGCTTCCGCTCCGCCTCCTGCTGCGCCTTCAGCTTCGCCACCCTGCGCTCCTCCGCCGCGCGCCGCTCCCGCTCCGCCTCCTCCGCGGCCTCCCGCTCTGCCTCCTCCCGCTTGCGCTCATTAAGCATGGTCTCAAACTCCGCCTCGCCCATGCCGCCAGTCACGGCGATATAGAAGTCCTGCCCGCCATTGTTCTCGTACACGTTGTCCGTGCTGTGGAATACGAAATCCACCTGATACGCCTCTTCCGGAACCTGGATGCGGCACGTCCACCAGTCGTTAGGCACCTCCGCGGACGGCTTGAGCTCCGCTTTGAACGGCTGCCACTGCCAGTTGTTAAACGCGCCGACAACGTTCACTCCGGATTTGTCTTTCAACACGCTCGCCGGGCGGTGGAAGAAGATTTCGACGGGCTTGCCCGGCTCCACCTGCCCGGGGTAGAAGAACATTTTCGCGGCGATAAACTCGTGCTCCTGCTGCAGCTTCCGCAGCTGCTCTTGCCGCGGCAGCTCCACCATTTTCGCTGCTTCCGCCCGCGCCTTCGCCTCCGCCTCCGCGCGCTCCCGCGCTAGGGCTTCTGCTCTCGCGCGCGCGTCTGCTTCCTCCCTTGCTCGTGCGGCCGCTTCAAGGCTCGCCATCGCCGCTGCTTCTTCGGCCGCCTTCGCCTCCGCATCAGCACGCACGCGTGCCGCTGCGACTTCGCGCATCCCCGCCGCGGCCTCTTCCCGCTCGCGCGCCAGCGCAGCTTCCTCTTCCGCCTTCTCCGCCCCCTTCACCGCTCTCAGCGCCTCTCGTTCCTTTTTCAGCGCCAACGACTCGTCCCGCGCCCTTTCCGCGGACGCCTTCCGCACGGCGGCTGCTGCCGCCGCCTCCCCCGCTCCCACAGGCGTGCGCACGGTCTGCGCAGCTGCCGTCTCCTCCGGTTCCGCCTTCCCCTGCAGCAACGCGGCGAGGCGTTGGCGCTCCTCCAGCGCCGCCTGCAGCTCCTGTCGCAGCTGCGCCAGCCGAATCTCATTCTCGCTCAACGCCGCCTTGCTCTTCCGCCTCCTCTCCCCCCCCGATACCCCCGCAGCCGCTGAATCCTCCTCCGCGTCTCCGTCACCTTTAGTCTTCTTGATCTTCTTGTCCTTAGCTCCACTGCTGCTGCTCGCGCGGGTGCGTCGGCGAATGGGGTCGGTTTTCTCAACAGCGCTGCCGTTGCCCTCGTCAGTAGCATCCTTGCGAGCCCTGGCCGGGCGGCCGGGCTTGGCAGTTGCTGCGGGGAGGTCTTCCGCGCGGCTGGAGGCGGTGGAAATGCTAGCGCCGTCGCGACGGGGGGTGGGGTTGCTGCTGCCGCACTGAACCGATGGGATTTGGGCCACTCGAGACAAAGAAGCTGGCGGACCATGGGAATGATCATGGGACAAGTGTGAAACGTAAGAATGGTTCTTCAGCATAGGAAATATCGCAGGGAAGAAATTCAACGGAGACCAGAGAGAAGCATAAGGGAAGGGTGAAGAGAGGTGAGAGCTCACGTGAACGTTCGAAATGCTGAAATGAGAAGGAGGTGAAAGTCATCCGAGGCAGAGGTACAAAGAGCTGGACATGAATTGACCAACCTGGAGCCCATCTGCTGGTGCGACATAGGAGAGTGCTGCTGGCCCAGCCAACATTCGCCTGAAGCTTACAGGGCCTGCGAGACTGAAAACGAATAATCCAGACAAAGGCTGTAAGCATATAAATCCATTCACAGATGCAGTAAATGCAATCAGAGCAATCAACCAGCAATGTTTGTTTCTCTACATAAATAAAACAGTCTCAGTCAGCGGTGTCTGAATTAACTCATTTGATTTGTTTACTGGTAAGGGAAATTGAGACGTACAGTGGTTAGGGAGGTCACTGCAACTGTGCATGTATTGCCCAACGACGCCATTCCGACGGTACTAGCCATTGCCGCAATCCGAGCACCAAAGTGCTGAAACAAAATAAGAGCTTTTCGCTGGCTACTGCTTTGAGGCTTAGACTACCGAAAGATTCAGCACCTTCATGCTCTGGGCGGGGCCATGGACAGTAAGGAACAGCTGGTTGGGATTTGAATAAAAGCGAATGCGGAAAGCACAAAGAATGGTTTCCGGTGGTGGACGCGGGGGGAGGCTGGTGAAGGCCAAGCGGAAAGGCGTGCAGCCAAGAAGCTCAACCAGCCTCACAGAAAGGCTTGGGAAGACCAGGCAAGGCTTGGTGGCACGTGGCACCACGACATGCAACCCGCTCCATTGGCTCCCAACGAGAGTCATCCGATCTCAGCGCGTGAAGGAATGCCATATAGGCTGGTACGGGAACAATCTGGGCGCCCTGTCATGTGGTTTTGAGCTGTAGTTGTGACAGCCTGGAGGTTTGTCCTTTGGGATCTCCTTGGACGTGTGGTCTGGATGATGCAATACATTTTCCAGCACATCAACGCCCCGCGTCCATAGGATGTGAGGTGGACCACTCTGCCAACACCAGCCTTCACACGCGTTTCAGCAGAATTTCACTTTTAACAATATGTAACATGTCCCACCGAAAAACATGTTGCGACCACTTTTCGAAATGTGTAACTCGCATTCTTGTAACACCCGCTTTCTTGTTCAAGACAGGTGCTTGGTTGGATATGTTCTAGGTTCTCTGCCGCAACGTGATTGGTCGTGCCATTTGCGCTGCGCCTTTTCGCTGACACTGGATCTCTTTGCTGACGGCACTGCGCACCCGCCCCTCCCTCCCACTGTTCCGCACTCCGCTGACCCCCTGCAGCACCCCCGTGACCCCGCGTAAATCTGCACCTCCGCCTTCCCTGCTGCTGTCGTCCGCGCCCTCTGTCACGCTCTCCCCCCCCACCCTTGCTCTGGTGCGCGCATGCACAGCTTCATTCATGCATGCCTCCCTCACACTCTTCTTCTCTTCACTCTTTTCCTGGAGTACTGCAGAAGTAGAATACTTCTTCTTGTGCATTAGAGGATGGCTTAGCAAATTTCCACCACGTCTGCCGGCTTTCACCGCCGCTCCTATGGCTTATGTTCGATTCGTTATGTAACCCGTTGAATTTGTCCGCGACTTATAAACTAACTGCGTGCGGATCTTTTTCAACACGTTAGTGTGTCTCAGAGTTGGTAGGCAGCCATGGGAGCGGGCTCGAGTCAACCCGCGCATCAGCAGCATCGTCGGTCGCAGCCAGCCAGGCCGCCGCAGTACTACCCGCCCGTCCCCTACTCCGTCCCCGCAGGCGCCGTTCCGCAAGCCCCGTACGGCCATGCGCCGTATCCCTACGGATACGCGTACCACCCGCAGGCCGGCGGCGGAGTGTCTCCCTCTTCGTGGCAGCACAACCCGCACTATCCGCATCCTCCGCCCGCCGCGCCGTGGTACGGCGGATATCCCGGGCACGCGCCACCGCCATACCAGGTCCCGGTTCCGCCGATGATGCCGGTGCCGCCTCCGCTGGTGGTAGCGGAGCCGCAGCAAGCGGTGACGATAAGGAACGAGGTGAACGTGAAGCGCAGCTCGCTGCGACTGCTGCGCGACCCCGCAGATCCCAGCAAGCACCTTGTCGCCTTCACCTTCGATGCCACCACCAGCGGCAGGTTCGTTGCGATACTCGATCTCTAGTCTCCACGCGAATTGATTATGTTTCGTGACGTCACCACGCAAATTGATTATGTCCCGTTACGTTTGTTGAAGTCAGTTTGTCAACTTTTTGTAACTCGTCGTTTGCGTTGGCCATCCCCCCGGTACGTGTGCAGTGTGAGCGTGTTCTTCGCGGCGCAGGAGGGCGAGGGGTGCAGCCTCAGGGGGGTGTATCCGCACGTGCACACGCCAAAGGTCGTGCGATTCGCCAAGGGTCTCGGTCAGAAGTTCGTGCAGCCGTCAGGCACGGGCGTCGACCTCTCGGTTATCCCAGAAGAGCATCTCTTTAGGGTTTCAAGCCCCAGCCCCGTGTATCCGCTCGTTATTCGCACCCGCGTCGAGCCCAGAAGCTCGAAATCCGCGACAGTAGCATCGCCGAATAGTAGCGCTAGCAGCGGTGTCAGTAACGTTCAGTCCAGCGCGCCCGCGAGCGCGTCGTCGTCAGAGCCGTGTTCTGTCGGCAGCCATGGCGTAGAATCGTGCGACTCGGATCCAGGCGCTCCGCTGCCCCCGTCGGTGCAGTCTCAGATGACCTACGCTGTGCTCGAGAAGGCCGCTGTAGCGCGTACGGAGAAAGAGGGTGAAGGGGAGACGGCGGAGGGCGATAAGGGGAAGGGCACAGGGGAGCTGCCCGGGCTATTCGTGGTGCGGCCGGTGAAGCAGAAGATCTGGGTGGACGGCACCAGCTACGAGGTGCAGGTGCGTGCGCGCGTGGGGGCAATACTCTCATGCTTGCACCACTCCACTCCCCTCGACGTTTTGCTCACCAATTTCCCGTCCTTGCATTCACCCACCACCCATCCTTGTACATCACCACCACACTCACCTCCCCCTCCCCCCCATCCCCCCCTCTCCCCCCACCTCCTCCTCTTCCCTCCATTGCTGCCTGGGTTGGTTGTGTGTTAATCCGTTGTCGGCCGTCCGTGCAGGAGATCTACGGCATCGAGCAGTGCGGGCGGGCCAACCCGGGCAGGAGCAAAAAGGGCGAGGCAGAGGGAGCGGGGGGTCAGGGGTCGGCATTGAGCGACGAGGAGGAGGAGGAGGAGGACGAGGTGGCGGGCAAGGAGTGTGTGGTCTGCATGTCCGCGCCCAGAGACACCACCGTGCTGCCCTGCCGCCACATGGTACCCCTTCACTCTCCATATTCGCTGCACCATCTTTTGTTGCTTTGATCATTGCATTCATTAAACCTTTATTCAATTCATCTTGGATTTGCAGTTGTGCAAACTTGCGTGTGCTTCCCTCGCGGTACTCCCCCTTCCTCCCCCCCCCCCCCCCCCTCCCCACTCGTCCAACACCCCCACCGACCCATACCCTCGCAGTGCATGTGTGCGGACTGTGCCAAGGTGCTGCGGTACCAGACCAACAAGTGCCCCATCTGCCGCCAGCCCGTGCAATCATTGCTCGAAATCCGAGTGCCGCCCAGGCTACCCTCGCTGGACGGGCCCGAGCCGACCTCCCCTGAGGCGCAGGGAGAAGCAGCGGCGGAGAGGCAGGAGCATGCAGAGGCATGTGCAGGGCCTCCACTGGCAGGGTCGGACGGCCATGCCGATCCTAGGTCTGCAGCGGCTCATGCGGGCAGTGGTGCTGCTGAGGAAGGTGGTTCCCGGGGGCATGGTGAGGCGAGCAGAGGTGTGGATTCAGCGGCAGGGAGGAGCGCAGGTGTGAGGGGCGGTGGTGGTGGAGAGGGGTTGGGTGGCAGTGATGATGTGGCGGGGTTGGCTGATCAAGTAGACTCGCTTCTGTTGGGTACAGGTAGAGGCAGATGATTGTGCTGACTTACAGAGGCTACACTGTGTTTTCCTGCATTGTTCATATGCATGAAACAACCTTTGCAGGAGAAAGCAAATTTCTACAAGTTACGGGACATGAGTTGCCCATGGGCTGTAGGTGTGCCATATGGTAACTACATCTTGGAACAACCAGGATACATGAACTAGAATTGCAGTGGTGTGCCTACATAGTGAACGTCATTCAGCACTCATCCAGCCATACCATTTTCTCGCAGGCGACCACTAACCATTCCGTTGCACCCTCAATCAGTCCATCCTCCGCAGCATTTCTCCTCGTTTTAGCAGCAGATACATTGATCTCGGATCTGCTGTTCCTTTGTACACCCTGTTTCGCGCTACACTGTCATTGGCTAGATGGGCCCTGTGGCTCAACGCGCCAGAGGACGCGTTATAGTGGACTTTTGCACCAGTACGGTTTGACGTGGTTAGTTACTTTCGAAGACGGTCGTTTGAACGTTTGATATGGCTCGGTAGGGACCCAGGATAACGAAATTGCGAATCACTCACCCCCTAGAGACGGTTATTGTAACAATTCCGAATACGTCCAAGGAACAGTTTCACTGTAGCCAGTGAATCCCGTTGCCAGTGTAGCGCGAAAGAGGGTGTACAGAAACACAGCCATTCACCCCCCCCCAGAGCACACAACAGGCGCAGACTGTCGCGTTGCGCCTCGAGGGAGAAACCAGAGCATGACAAGTGTACAGTAGCCATCAGCCGAGCCCAGCCCAGTCCAGCCCACACAAACCCCACACCAACCGACCCCCTCGCACTCGCACAGCCGATGATTTTGAGTGTCAGCCTCGTGGCGCGGGGGGAGACAGCTGAGCTCGTCCGCCAGCCAGCCCCACAACCACCACTCCTACCCCGCCCGCGCCACCCCCATTCACACCCTCCCTCCCCTACCCATTCCCCAAAGGTCCTACGTACCTCCGCTTATCACTTAGGGCGTGTAACATCGCAGCGAACCACGCTCTGGTCGACTGTTTGGTCGACCATAAGCTTCGCAAGTGTTCGCGAGGGGCGACGGTTTTACAACCTCCTAACCGCCCCTTTGGGCGACCAGACAAGACGTGGCTGATTTGGAGCAATCTGACAATGCATCAACGAAACGGAGTAGAGTGCGACAATCAGGTGTAACGACACACGAATTGAGTCGGATTGATGGAATCAATTTGGACGAAGGATATTCGTCGGCACGCGACAACTCGCGTGAGTTCGCGCAGGCCAATACGAGTCACAAATTCTGAGTTGCGCGGTTTCACGGTTTCAATCGGCATTGTATCGCGACCCTTCTCGTGCACATTCGTTACGCACCTGTGCGACGAGATGGTCGACAAAGTTGGTGTACACAGTGGCATACTGGAAGGTGCGGAAGGCTGGTCGATTTGCTCGAATTGCGATGGCGAACAGAGCGAAATGTAATCCTCGCAGAAACCGACGGTTTGTAAGTTGTTCGCTGCGATGTTACACGCCCTTACCTTCCACCCGCTTCTGGCGCAAGTGCTATTTTTGTTGTGCAAATTCCGCTCTCCGTTGGCCCAAGAACGATGCAGACCGCACCAGCGGCGCCACGCAGTACAACCGTTGTAGCTATGTTAGCCCGTTAGCTATGTTCACTTGTTAGCTCTGTTCACTTGTTAGCTCTTCGCTACCTCCACTTCTCGTTCGTGCCCGTGCGATGCCTAGCCATGTCCATTGAAACACCTAGACGGTTTCCGCTTAGCACCTACTTTCGGCACACTCACTCTCCTCCTTCGGTGCATTTGATCGAGTCGCGGCCCTAGACTCGCGTAACGTCTCGACCGGCCGACAATAAAGTACTTATTTATGTGATCTTCACCGTGCCTCTTATTTCACACCTCGACAACGTCGTTCAATCCGTCGGCATGCAGTCTGGCCGCGCTGCGAGATCTCATTCCACGTGTCGAAATGCCGTTGCTCGGAGACATATCCACCTCAGCGCATTCATTCCTAAAGAAAATCCGCATTTACGCGGCAAGAAAACAACGCGCTTGTCTTTAGCACAATGTCTACTGCCGCTGCTGCTCTCTCTAGTCCTACCGTTCGCGCCGGGAGCAGCAGCGCAGGGCAGGCCAGATGCCGTGGCGAAGCTACCCGGTCAGCCGGCAAGCGCGCCCAAGTTCAACCAGTCAGCCGGCTATATAACGGTGGACGGGCGGAAGGCGTACTTCTACTGGCTCGTGGAGGCCATCGGGCAGCCCGACTCGAAGCCGCTGCTGCTCTGGCTCAACGGCGGTGAGCTTCCAGGAAGCACTCTACCGCGATGCATTACAGAACGCAACGGCGGTGCCTTATAGGACGACCCTTAACGGCGTTGGCTGGTGAAACCTTCTGATGATTCCCCAGCAGCCGATAATCCCCCCAGCAGCCGCAGTGTCCGATTCCGCACTCTCGTTGAGGACGGCTAGCGTCTATTCCTCTCTCCCGGTTAGAACGGCACATATTGAGTCAGGCTTGTAGGAAGCAAGCCTGCGGGTAACTTCGTCCTTACCCGCACGAGCATCCGTGGATTCCTGGGTCTACCCGTCCCCTCTCCACCTTGTCCGGCAAATTTACGTTTCCCCCTTCCTCTCCCCACTATTTCCCTGCCTCCGCATGTCCGCCTCTCCCCCTCTCCGCGCGCGCCGCAGGTCCGGGGTGTTCATCCGTGGGGTGCGGGCTGTTCGAGGAGGTGGGGCCGTGGCGCGTGGCGTCCAAGGCGGGCGCCGCGCTGCTCTACAACAAATACGCCTGGAACCGACGTCAGCGCCCTCCCCGCCCTCCTCCCTCCCCCCGCGCTCGCGGCTTCCTCCCCTTTCTCCGCTCCCATCGCTCTCTCGCATTCGGTTTCCTTGCCACTCATCGCTTTCTCATCCGCCCCCAACATCCGCTGCGCACCCGCTTACATGCCACTGCAACCACTCGCTTCGCACCCCACTCCCACACTCGTGCTCTCCGTGCTGCTCCGCGCCTCCCGCGCTCACCTCCTCCTCCCCTCCTCCGTGCTTCCCCCCCTTCCCGCCGTTCCTCGCCGTGTTACCCGCGCGCGCAGTGGTGAACATAGTATTCCTCGAGTCGCCCGTGGGCGTGGGATACTCCTATTCCAATGACACGTCAGACTACACCACCGACGACGAACAGACAGGTACTCGCACGTCCCTAGTCTCATGCAATGTGTGCGCTCGTGCGCGCTAGCTCCGCTCCGCGTCATCAACAACCCGCGGTGCCGCCTCCCTCGGCGGTTTCGCACATGCCTCTTCTTTTTCCCTGGGATCCCTTTCCCTTCGTCCCTGCACCCCCTCTGCCCCCTCACCGCCGCCCCTTCGCTCCCCCCGCTCCCCCCTTCCCCCCGCAGCGAAGGACAACCACGCGTTCCTGGTGGGGTTCGTGGCGCGGCACCCGCGGTACGCGGGGAGAGAGTTCTACATCGCAGGGGAGAGCTACGCGGGTAAGGGGGAGAGCTACGCGGGTAAGGGGGAGAGCTACGCGGGTAAGGGGGAGAGCTGCGGGGGTAAGGGGGGGAGCTACGGGGGTAAGGGGGGGAGCTACGCGGGTAAGGGGGAGACCTGTGCGGGTAAGGGGGAGAGCTACGCGGGTAAGGGGGAGAGATGCGCGGGCAAGGGGGGTATTGGGGGGAGAAAGCAGTGACTTGGTGCGGTCGTGTCTGCTCCCTCAGGTCGGGGCCCCCTGTGTCCGTCTCACTCACACCCCATGCCGTCCCCACTCGCCATGCTCCCCTCTCACCCTTCCCACCCCGTCTCGTTTTCCGCAGGCCACTACATTCCGCAGCTCGCCGCCCGCATCATCGAGCAGAATCAGATCCAGGGCGGCACGCGGCTGAACTTGGACTTCTCGGGGATTTTCCTGGGCAACCCGTTTGTGAACTATGCTCATGACACCAAGGCAAGCTCATGAGAGCAAGGCAAGCGCATGAGAGCAAGGCAAGCGCATGAGAGCAAGGCAAGCGCATGAGAGCAAGGCAAGCGCATGAGAGCAAGGCAAGCGCATGAGAGCAAGGCAAGCGCATGAGAGCAAGGCAAGCGCATGAGAGCAAGGCAAGCCGTTGGCTGCTCCTCTCAGTGGCGTGGTGGTTGGGGGACGTGGAGAACTAACTTGCGGTGTCGTAGCTTCGCTTGTGCTTGCGTTGCGACCAGCCCGGCGTCCCTCATCTCGTCTCGCCCTGCGCGACGCCCATGCCACATGCACACTAGTTTATGGGTGATGGCGCCATGCACACACCCCAACCATGCCCCACCCGCCCCCCCGCCTTGCCCCCTGGTGGTGGTGGCAGGGGCCCATCCAGTTCTTCTACGACCACGCCATCAACGTGCGCCCCCGCCCCCTCCCCCTCCCTCCCCCGCCCTTCCTTCGCCCCCACCCCCGCCCCTCCCTCCGCTCCTCGCCCCACCGCTCGCTTTCAAAGCCACTCTTAAACGTTGCCATGCCGTGCTGTACCGTGCCGTGCCGTGCCGTGCCGTGCCGTGCCGTGCCGTGCCGTGCCGTGCACCACTGCATGTGCCCGCCACTGTATTGTCGCCTATGTGCCCCCACCACTCTCCTCCTGCACCACCCCACCTCTGCCTCTCCCCCATACCCCCCTCCGTGCGTGTCCCTCCGCTCTTGTGTGCGTGTGCGTGTGCGTGCGCGTACGCGTGTGCGTGCGCGTGCGCGTGTGCGTGTGCGTGTGCGTGTGTGTGTGCACCACCCCACCTCTGCCTCTCCCCCATACCCCCCTCCGTGCGTGTCCCTCCGCTCTTGTGTGCGTGTGCGTGTGCGTGCGCGTGCGCGTGTGCGTGTGCGTGCGCGTGCGCGTGTGCGTGTGCGTGTGCGTGTGCGTGTGTGTGTGCACCACCCCTGGCAGTGCGACTTCACATACGGCGCCCCCAACCTGGAGTGCCGCTACCACATCAACTCCGCCTTCTCGCCCTGGGTGCGTGCCATGCCATGCCATGCCTCGCTGCTTGCTTGCTTGCGCCCTTCGCCCTTCCCTTTCCCCTTCCCACACCTCTCTCTCTCACTCTCCTGTTGAATTGTGGCTCATGGTTGGCTGCACCTCTATTCCTCCCCCCATTCATCACACTCCGTGTGCCTCTCTGCTGTCTTGTTGTGCCATGTGCGTGCACGGCATGGCATGGCACGGCATGGGACGGCATGGCATGGCATGGCATGGCATGGGACGGTCGGGTCTGCTGTGCCCTCATCAGTACGAGCCCATCGACCCCTATAGTAAGCACCCGAACCATTACGATCACCACCTCTCTTGTGCTGTCTCATCACCACGTCTCTTGTGCTGTCTCATCACCACGTCTCTTGTGCTGTCTCATCACCACGTCTCTTGTGCTGTCTCATCACCACGTCTCTTGTGCTGTCTCATCACCACGTCTCTTGTGCTGTCTCATCACCACGTCTCTTGTGCTGTCTCATCACCACGTCTCTTGTGCTGTCTCATCACCACGTCTCTTGTGCTGTCTCATCACCACGTCTCTTGTGCTGTCTCATCACCACGTCTCTTGTGCTGTCTCATCACCACGTCTCTTGTGCTGTCTCATCACCACGTCTCTTGTGCTGTCTCATCACCACGTCTCTTGTGCTGTCTCATCACCATGTCTCTTGTGCTGTCTCATCACCACGTCTCTTGTGCTGTCTCATCACCACGTCTCTTGTGCTGTCTCATCACCACGTCTCTTGTGCTGTCTCATCGCACCCTCGTTTCTCTCCACGCACACCACACGCTCCTCAAACGCCTCCTGTCCTCTCACCCCCTCTCTCCTGCTCGCACCTCCTCTCACCTCGTGATACGTCCTCACGGCTCCTCTCACCTACTCGCACCTCTTCTCCCTTCCTCCTATCCCACCATCCCCCGTACCACCTCTCCCCCCCAGACATCTACGCGCCCTACTGCCTGGCGGACTTCTCATCGGCGCGCCTGTCCGCCTCGGCACGAATGAACCCGCGCCTGCGCTACTCCATCGCCGCGCTGCAGGCCGCCATCCAGCACCAGCAGCAGGCAGCGCAAGCACAGGCGGCCGCAGGGGTCGGGGAGTTGGCGGCGCCGAGCGGTGCGGGGAGCAGTGGCAAGGCGATGGATCCGCTGGACAGCCCGGCGTGCATGGACGCGTGGGTGCAGCGCTACCTGCGCTCGCCCGCCGTCTACAGGACCCTCCGTGCGCCCGCTGTCCGCGCCTCCCAGTGGAGCCTCTGCTCGTAAGACCAGCGGGTGGGCAGGCAGGTGGTTGGTGGGTTGGTGGGTTGGTGGGTGGGTGGGTGGGTGGGTGGCAGGCGCAGTGGTGTTGATAGCATGCCTGCAACTTGCCTCTTTTGGCCCCCACTTCAACTCATCCCATCCTCATCGCTCCTCACTCTCATACCCTCCCCACACACCCGTTCCCTCCTCACTCCCCTTTCTCTTCCATTCCTGCCCTTTCCCTTCCCTTCCCTCTCCACCCCAACAGCAACGGCATAGACTACAGCACGACCAACCAGGGCAGCGACATCATCCCCACCATCGCGGCGCTGCTGGACCAGCCCATCCGCTTCTGGATCTTCGCGTACGCCCCCCTGCCCCTTCCCCCTCACCCCATGCCCCCCGCCCTGCACCCCGTGCCTCCCCACCTCGCGCCCCTGCTCCGTTGGCCCTCCCCCCATGTCTGCACCGCCTTTGCACAGCTCCTGCACCCCTCATTCTCCCATGCCACGTGGCTCGCCGCTCAGCCATTCCCCATGCACGCGCCTCTCACCGGCACCTCATCGCGTCTTTGCTGCCCGCCCTGCGCTGCGATGCCCCTCTCCCCTGCGCGTCTCCGCCCTCGTGTCTCTCCCCCTGTGCGTGTGATGGCAGGGGTGATGCGGACAGTGTGGTACCCTTCACGGGCACGCGCGTGTGGATAGAGGCGCTGGGGCTGCCAGTGCTGCAGCCGCACTACCCCTGGCTCATGCCCTCGGGCCAGGTGCGTGCTGCACTGCACTGCTCTACTATACCGCACCGCTTGTGTTAGGCAAACCTGGGGTGGCCCCCAGCTTCAGTTACAGGTCTGCATGCACCGCAGCGCTCTCTGCCTGCCACATTCTTGTCTATCCCACCTTCATTCTTGCCGCCCGCACGCCCTCTAATCGTGCTTCACCCCACGTGCTCGTATCCATCCCATGGGCATGTGTGTGAATATGTGTGCGTGCAGGTGGGCGGGTGGGCGACGAGGTACGACAAGCTGACATGGGTGACGGTGAGGGGGGCGGGCCACCAGGTGCCAACAGGCAAGCCCGAGGAGGCGTTTGTGCTCTTCCAGTCCTTCCTCCTCGCGCAGGACCCCCCCAGCACTGCTCAGTGGTGATCGCCCCACCACTGCAGTGTACACGTGCTTGCAATGAGTCGCTTTGTAATGTATTTATTCAAATTATTTTGTTCTTCCACTGGATCAGGCACCACTCGGGGTACATTCCGCTCTTGACACAAATGTCTCAATCGTGTCATAAAACCGCTGTACCAGTCTGCACCGCATTACACCTAAGTGTCGAACATTTCCACTGCACTGCATCTCTTTGTTTGAGACGCGAGGCCTTCGTGACGCGCTGCAGGAATGTACCCTCAGTGGTGCAGCAAACAGAGAGTGCAGTCTGCTGCCCACAGGGGCTCTGCATAGTGGCTGTTTCACAGGCACTCTCCAACCTTGTTCACTGTAGCCACTCACACTGCTGTGAGTGTGAGATCACGGCACCTCATGCACTTGATACCGTCATCGCCCGGATACAAGACAGTGTTGAATAGTAGACAGGGGTTGTCTATTATACGGGTGTCTCTTATAAACAGGCTAGCCTTTTTATACGACACCTATTGTGAAAGCTTGCTTATTGCAACTTGTAATAGGCATCGTGCTTTATTTCATCTGGGGGCATCGTGCTTCATTTCATCTGGGTAAGAGTACATCAATCCCGTCCAAAGGTCTACAACATACAATTTCACTACATAGGGTGGGAGGGTGGGGAACTCAAACTAAAAATCTGAAAAGAAGAACGTGGGTGAGGCCAAATGGCCTCCAACCCCTCTTTTGTAGCCAAAAGAGGGCGAGTAGCGATGCGACGCTGCCTCTGCTGCGTTGGCAATCGCTTCACTATCACAATACAAAATTTTAGAAAGTGAATACACTTTCAACAATTATAATATTGTGAAAGCTTGCTTATTGCAACTTGTAATAGGCATCGTGCTTCATTTCATCTGGGTCTGCTGAGACATGTGCAGAGGAGGACGGCGCTGTCGCTGGATAGACAGCTGATGCTGGTTGGAGGATGGGGCTCGTGTGGGGTCCTGGATCAGCCGGGATGCTGCAACGAGCTGGTCTTGAGCGATGGTGACGTAGAGCTCCTTCGCGGTGTCGCTGCGCCAGCGGCCTAGACGTTTGAACATTCGATCCGTGATCCCGACTCCGGCAGCTGTCGTTGCTGCACCTTTGCGAAATGAGTGGGTGCCCAAGTGCTTTGCGTCGAGCCCGATCTTGCGGAAGGCTTCCAAACACCAGTTCCGAAGAGTGGGGTATGAGGGAGATTTGGCTTGTGGTGTTGCCTTTGCGCCACGTGGGAAAACTCGGATGAGAGGGCCTTCGGTTGATGAGTCATAGCCGGCGATCTTGATGAATTTCTGGGTGGTTTGGACTGGGCAGTATGGCCCATCTGTTGCCGCGACTGGGACCCACACTCCTTTGCTCTCCTGGTCAGTTTTGGAGTGTGGGATTAGAACCCACATTGCCGTATCCTCGAATTGAATGTCCTGCCACTGAATCGCGACCAGGTCGGAGTAGCGTAGGAACCCAGTGTACATCAAGAGCGGAATGAGACCTTTTTGAAATTCGGATGGGATGTGGGATGTGAGAAACTCTTGAGCCATGCTATGGACCTGGTGAAGCGAGACTGGATCTTTGGTCCGGTTGGGGCGCGGTGCGTGGCGCTTGGCGAACTCGCGTACTTGCGATGTGAAGGGGCCGTCGGTGGGACACGTCGTCCCAATCATTTTGTGTGCGAAGGCTACCGCGGAGCATGTTAGTGTGATCGCAGATAGCGTGGCTTTGTGCTTGAGGGCGTGCACGAGGTACAGCGCGAGTGTCAGGTCCGTGGTAGGCAGGTAGCTCAGCGAAACCTTCTTGCAGAAGGCTCGGAACTTGAGCCAGTAAGGTTCATAGGTCTGGATGGTGGAGGGTGCCCTCACTTGGCTGATGACCGCAAAGAGTTGCTTTTGGTGGTTGTTTAATAGTTCTGCCATCAATAAGAGCATGCAATTACATTGAGAAATTTATAGCCAATGCAAGGATGGGACTATTTGGAAATCCAGCGCCTGAGAACGAAGATGTGTGTGTGCCTGGGTGAAGGCATTGACTACCGCTTGCAAGTGCTAGGTGGCTGGTGATCCCCTTGGCCCATGTCTGGGGAGATGGCTGCACAAGGGGCCACCAAGCAGCCCCTGTCCATTGTGGAATCACAAGAGTGATCTTTGCGTGGGTGCGTTGCGCGTGCCGAAGGGTTGCTGGGATGAGGTGGGGGGGTGGGAACGCGAAACCGTGCTCTCCCCTCCAATCCGTCGAGAATGCGTTGACCGCTTCAGCCTTGGGATGGGGCACCTTCGAGCAAAAGCGAGGTAACAACGCGTTGCGAGCGTTTGCGAATAGGTCGATGGAGTGGGGCCCCCAACGACGTTCAAGGAGGCGAAACCACGGTTGTTTCAAAGTGTAGTCATCATGGTCTTGCAGCTTGGAGAGCTCATCCGCATGGGTGTTCAACTCGCGAGGGATCCATTCGATCGCCAAGCGAACCGAGTGTTCCGTACAAAGAGAGATGATTTCTTTGCAGGTGAGGGTGAGCTCGGTGGTGCTTGAGCCGCCCTTGCGTAGGATGAACATGACGCCTTGATTGTCGACACGGACTAGGGTGTGGCCACCCTGGATCTGATGCATGAAGGTGCGTAGTGACCACAAAACACCTTCCAGCTCCCGCCGGGTGCTGGATGTGGGTGGCAAGTGTGAGGGCATGCTTGCGCTTGCTGTGCTCCTCTCTCCGCGGAACGTGACGAGTGTGGCGCCCCAACTGTGTGCGCTAGCATCCACCTGGATGACCGCATCATAATGGTGCGGTTGATGGAACGGGGCACCATTGAACTTGTCGAATTGCTCCATCCAGAAGCCCAGTTCGTCAATTGCCTCTGATGATAGCGATGATGGTGCAGATGGTGCGGTGTTGATGGTTTGGAGCAGCTCGTGGCTGAAGGCTCGTGCAGTTGCTCCCAGAGCGAGGCTCATTGATGCGAGCATGCCGGTGACTCGGGCGACGTGGCGGATGTGTACTTGGCGACCTCTACGCCCCTCGGTAATGAGCGTCGCCATTGTGGATTTTAGTTGAGATCGACGTTCGTCTCCCACCGAGAATGTGCAGCTTCGAGTGTCCAGCTCGAGGCCAAGGAAGCGGAGTGCTTGGGTGGGGAGCAGCTGGGACTTCTTCTTGTTGATCACTAGACCGGAGTCCTTTAGGTCTTGCACGATCATGGTGCATGTCGATTGGGCTTGTTGGGCTGACTCGGATAGCACTAAGATGTCGTCGACGTATGGGATCACTCGCCATCCACGTGCACGCCATCGTCGAGCGAGCTGCTTGATAAGTTGGGTAAAGACGAACGGGGCTGTGGCCAACCCGAATGGTAAGGAGCGGAAGTAGTAATATGCTCCGTCGAACTGGAAGCCAAGGTATCGCCAGCAAGTTGGGTGTATGTCCACATGGTGATACCCCGATTTGAGGTCGACGGAGAACATCCAATCGTTCGGCTTGATCAACTCTGCCACGCGAAGCAGTCCTTCGTATTTGAACTTGGGCACGCGCAGGTGCTCGTTGACCTTCCGAAGATCCAGTATGAGGCGACATTTTTCGCGTTGCTCGACCACGTTGAGCGGGCTAACACATGAAAGTGCGGCTCGATCGGGTGCATCTGCAGCGGCACCCGTGCGAAGGAGGTCCTGGACTGCGGTTCGGGTGAAATCACCATGTGCTTGTGTGCCGGCGTGGTTTTTCGATTCAAAGGGCGTGGGGGGCTCGTTCTTCCATGGGAACCAGTAGCCACGTGCGATGATGGATAAGATGAAGCTGCTATCGCACCATGAGCACCACCAGTGGAGTGCTTGGCGCAGTCGGCCTTGCATTACGAATATAGTTGTGTCTGTCACCGCGAACTCGTATGGGTCGGTTGCCCTCATTACCCATTTGTTGCTCTCGGCTGCGTACCAAACGATGCATGCAGGAGACGGCGTTAGTGTGCTAATCAGTAAGGAGCGATCATGGTCCTACGTACCATATGCTACGAGTAGTGTGCGAGAATCCCCTCGCCCTTCTCCCCCCCCTCTCCCTTCTCTCTCTCTCTCTCTCTCTCTCTCTCTCTCTCTCTCTCTCTCTCTCTCTCTCTCTCTCTCTCTTTCTCTCTCTCTTTGTCTCTTTTTCTTTCTCCTTTTCCGTGTCTTGCTTTGCGGTGTGGGGTGATGGCCAGAGCTCGTCGTTCAGTGATGGCTACCTTTTGTCCAACTTAGTGATGGGTTGGGTAGGCGTGGGCATATGTGTGCCACCGTACCATTCAACCTCCTCCACTCTCTTTCTCTCTCTCCCCCCCTCCTTGGCCTTTTCTTGTGATTCTTGGCGTGGGTGTGCCGAGCTTTGGCACCTCTGAATCTGCCCCTTGGCAGTCCCTCCTTTTGGGACCCCTTTGTCACCTTGCTCTCTCGCTCCTTCCATCCCTCTTTTTTTTTTTTTTTTTTGACCGAGCTTGCCCGTGATTTTGCCTCTTGATTTTCCTTCTTGCTGCCATTGTTTGCGGCTTTTCCTTTTGACATTCCTTGAGTAGGCTTGCCAACTCTTCATTTCCAAAGTGCAGCTCCAACCAAGAGCCCGTGGTTTAATATGAGGAAGTAAAAACAACTTGCAAGTCCTTTTTTTTTTTTTTTTTTTTTTCTCATAACAAGAAATACATTTCAGAGCCATCCATCAGCCACCCTGGCCTTAATCTAAGGGTCCCCTGACCTCTTTGAGTCCCTAGGCTGCTCCACAGCCGTGCACCCCCTGCTGCAATCCCCTACGCTCTTTCGGCGAGCGGGGAAAGGGGCATCGCCCTTGGTTACTCCTCACACCACGGGTGTGGGGCCTTGTCCGCCGCGCCCCCCCATGGGGCAGGCGTTTGCCATGTGCCCGGGCTGGCCACAGCAAAAGCAGGTGCCCTTGAAGGCCCTGTTTTGGCATGAGCCTTGTCCGGCACCCTTGTTGCCGATTTCCCCGTTGTCGAGGCCGTTACCCCGCACGGTGCGATTATAGCTCA